GAAAGAAAGAAAGAAAGAAAGAAAGAAAGAAAGAAAGGAAGTATGTCTACAATTGAGTACTGGTGTACTGCTGTGGGTCAGTTTGAACCACAAGGTCAGCAGTTCAAGTTCACCATCAGCTCCTCAGAAACTCTATAGAGAGTCGCTATGAACATAGAGGGTCAACGTGTGTAGAACCGACTCTACCTCTGTGGCCCTTAACAAAAACAACAGCACAATAATCTAGACAATGTGCTGTTGTCGTTATGTGCTGTGGAGTCGGTTCCGACCATAGCGACCCTGTACAGGGTTTCCGAGGCTATATATCTTTACGGGAGCAGAAAGCCTCATCTTTCTCCCCACGGAACAGCTGGTAGTTTCAAATTGCTGACACTGAGGTTAGCAGCCCGATTCGTAACCACTAAGCTATCAGAGCTCCTTAGACAATGTGCTAGGCCTTGGTAATTTTAATAAGAATTTTGCAAAAGCAATATTATTTAATTTTAGAGTTGAGTAAAGTGATACTGAATCTGCATGTCAATCCAACCTATCTGATACAAAGTTTGTTTCATTTTGATAATTGGCTTTTGTAATAGCATTTCCCTAAGTGTGTTCTGGTTTCTCTGATTAAATATGGAGACTGAAGTGCCTGTCCTACATCTTCCCTTTGAAGACTCAAAATACTGTAGTTTGGATACTATACAATAGTTCATGTGTGGTTCTGAAATGAAGAACTCCATTATTTTATGTTTGCCTGAGTATTTTACAATCTCAGAACTTTTTTTTTGTGTGTGAAATATCATTTAATATTCCATGGAAATTTTTGGGAAACCTTGTCATACAGTATATTGGAATAATCTTATTAAGCTATTTAGAATACAGGTAATATAAATCTTTTCAGATGCTATTCAGTCAATGTCAGAAATTAGGTTATGATTTATATAATTAATTAAGTAGGTAGTGACCAGTAAGTAGTTAGGGAAAAATAAAAAGAATAGTACAGAAAATTTCAGAGTTGTTATATGTAATACAGCAAAGTCCTAATCACGAAAGTTTTAGTGGGTCACAATGTAAAATGTATTTCACTCTCTGGTTATGGCTAAAATTGTCTGAAGCCATCATCTTCGTGAAATTCACATGAGTTTCTGATTGTGCCTGAAGGTAGAATGATGAAGAGTGCCTGAATTTATAACATTAACACGAAAAGAACAATATGGCTAAATATGATATTTGCTCTTACTTAAAACCAGAGAATTTTAGAGCTGAAATATCTTACAAAGGGAAGGTAAAAATGTGGAGTGTTTTAGTGACTGTCAAGGTCAGACAGCTGTTAGCTGGGCATGAAACCCAGATTTCCTGATTTGTACTCCTTTATGTGACAGAGTAAATTGACATTATTTTTTATTTATAGAACCCTGAGGACTATTTTATTTTAATGAATAAGAAAAATTAGGCTTATGATTTAGTGAAACGCTGGCAAAAAGTCAATGGGAAGTTTTTTTAAAATGTGAAAGGCTTTAACTGCAGAAGAAAAAAATAACTTAGAGATAATTCAAAAATGGGGTCTAATTCTACTTCCAACCAGTAACATTAACCTAGTACTCTTTATTATTATTGTTATTCTTGTTAAGTGCCATCTAGTCGATTCCGACTCATAGAGGCCCTGTACAGGGTTTCCGAAGAGCAGCTGTTGGGTTTGAACAGCCCATCTTGTGGTTCACAGTCCAGTGCTGATCCTACAGCACTACTCCAGGGCCAATTAGTAACCAGTTTTCTCATTTGCACATGTAACTGTCCTAGGTATATGATTTTGAGATGTTACGCATCAGTACAGTCTTGCCACATATAAAGATGTAGCATTTATGTTCCCTACGAATAATGAGTTAGACTAATAGGAGACCCTTTAACCTCATTTTTAAAAAACGAGAGGGAATGACTTTGAAGCATTCCATAGCAGAAAAATACTCGCTTCTACACATTTTATTTTCAAAACTCTTTTCAGTCTAAGTCTATACTTCTGATTCTCCCTAATTATTCTTTTCTAATGGTATGTTTGGAGTCCCGGTGTGGGGCTGTAGGCTAATGAAAAGTCATTTCAACTGCAAAGTCAGTGGTTCAAGCTCACCAGCCTCTCCCTAGATGGCACTTTCTTTGAGGAGGGTCTTTCAGAGACTGATCAGTGGAGATGTTCCTTTTCTATTTCTCTGTACCAGGGGAAATACCCACGGAGACCACCCCGGGGTGGCAGGTCCAGGCTAGGATTTCAGCAAACTCTTTTCACGCTGTAGGCACCCAGGGAACTGCAGTCTCCCCCTTGGAACGGAGAGAAATCCTTTGATAATTTAATCTTGGCATGAGAAAGAGACGCTAAGGCCTGTGCACTCTGGTGATAAACTTCCGTTTATCCAGTTGAGCCAAGAAAGGGGTACGGTATCTTTTAAAACTAATATAAACGAATAAAACACAAACAAGAGTTCAAAAGGGAGATGAAACCTCCCACAAAACGTGGAAAGCGGTTGGTGTCTGGAGGGCGGAATAATCTAGTCCTTAAAACCTGGCGGCTCCAGAAAGCCTCTACGGAAGATTTCTCAATAGCTGGGAGAACACAGAAGATTGGAAGAGGCGAATTTCCTAAACCTCAGGGCAACCCTCGGACCCTCCCTCTTCCTATAATTAACTCAACGTCCCGCTGGTCAGTAGGGAGCCGTGCCTCTTGAGATCCCTCTCTTCTCTCCCCTAGTCCAGCTCTAGGGAAAGCAGAGGACCCTAGGATGGGCAGTTAAGCCCTGGCCGCTCCAAATCCCCGCACGGTCTCAAGCCCTGACCCTTCCTGGGTCCAGTAGTCTGCACGATCTTCCTTGTCCCTCCCGCGTCGGCCGCGCCCGCCTCGGCGGCTCCGACTGGCGCGGGGGGCACAGGCCCGGCTCTGGGTGACGTGGGCGCCGCGGCGGGAGGGGCCACCCGGGGGGCTCGGGCGGCCTTATTAGCGCCCCGCAGGTCGCCGGGAGTGAGCCGACCGCTGCTCTGTGAGCAACAGGAGCGGGCGAGCGGCCCTCTCCTCCCACCTCCTCTGCCGCGCCTCCTCCTCCTCCCTCTGCCGCTCCTCCCGCCCCCACCTCTGTGTGTGCGGCGGAGTCACCCTCTCCCTGCCTCTTTCTCTCGCTCGCGCTCGCTCGTCTGTCTCGCTAATACTTCCCCCTGCTGTGCTCTAGGAGACCCAAGCATTTTCCGCGCTAACTTTAGGAACCAATGGTGCTCGAAAAGCCTAGAAAAAGCCGCTTTGGGCAGAGATAGTTGGAAGCCCCTAGTCCCTTCCCCCTCTCGCGGCGCAGTCCGTGCCCAGCTCGCAGCACCTTCTCGCTCTTGCACACTCGGTTTTGGGAGGACGGGGTGAGAAGGTGAAGTGGAAAGAACTGCGGAGCAGAGGGGCCAGTCTCAGAGCTCAAATTTCATTTTCATTGAAGCAAAGCACAGAAGATCTTTTTATTATTATTATTATTATCCTGCTTTTTTTTTTTTTTTTTTTTTTTTTTTTTTTTTTTTTTTTTTTTTTTTTTTTTTTTTTTTTTTTTTTTTTTTTTTTTTTTTTTTTTTTAAGAAACTTATTTTGAGGGGGTTTGCTCTGGGCATTTGCTTTGCCCAGTAGTTGAAAAGTGAACTCGTCTCGTGATGGTTCTCCTGTCACTTTGGTTGATAGCAGCCGCTCTGGTAGAGGTTAGGACTTCAGCTGATGGACAAGTAAGTGAAAATAATAACAATAAAAAACTCAAACCCAACCTTTCCCTGAAAAAGTTCCTCCTTTTCTTTCCTTCTGTTTCCTCTCCCCCTCCCACCTTTCCCTGTTATCTTCTACATCAAATGGTGATTTGAGGGCTGGGTGCAACGTGCGGGCTTTTTAGGGGTGGGGGATTGAATTGCACCAGAGGTTACGACTCCCACTTCTGGAGCCCAGGCTGTCACACCTGGACCTTCACCACTTTGCGGCATTCGTAACAATTGCTGGTAACAGACTGCAGCCAATTCGCATCTTCACCGGGCCATCTGGGTTTCCCCTTTCCGGAGGGCGGTCTGGTCTCTTGAATGAAGTTTTGGACGCTGGGTCCTGTAATCCAAGAGCTCTAGATTGCTGCAGCCAGAGTCCGGATCGCGGGGTTTTCTCTCCTCCAGGCAGTTGTAACCGACTCAAGGCTTTTTCGGGCAACTGGGGGTTTCAGGAAGTCCTTGAGCCGGACCCGGAGCAATCCAGTAGACACGTGTCTTGGAAGGATCGTGGTCGGGCTGGGGTTTGACAGTTGGGGAGGGGGTCTGGGGACGTTTCCTGCCCAGCGTTTTCCTGGGGAGAAGCTGGAGCCCAAGGCAGCCTTCCTCCCCTCCCCCTCTGCACAGCTCCTCCTCTTTTTAAAGCTAAGTTGAGTGCGGCTCTGTTTTTTTCTGGGCCCTGCCCCCACCATTCGGAGTTTAAGGTGAAGCCTGATGCTCGCAGAAGAATCCTTGAGAAGGCGCCGCTGGCCAAATCTCTTTTAGTAAAACACATCAGTACAGAGCCGGTGAGAATTAAGGCACACAATTTCTCTGTGAATTTTGTAGCTTCTCTGGTCTGCCTGAATGGACCATAGGACTGATTTCTGATTCCAAATCCAGTGAATCAGACCCCTCCTCCCCCTTAGGCTTTTTTCTACCTGAATAAATTCAGAGACTTCCTTTTCTAATCCTAACCTAGTTTAGGGGTTTCCAGAAAACAGTACTGAGTGTCCCATTTAAGTTTTTCTGGCTTCCTTAATGCTATTAAAATGGGTAACGATTCCTTTCCCCAAATTGTTGTTAAATTGACTGACATTCTCTGGCAGGAACCTTCTTTAAGCTAAGATGCAGCCTTTAGGTACAGTAAGGGTCTCCAGCTTCTCCTGATTAGCTCCTGTAAATGGTAGACAGAAATCTTGCAAAGCGCTAAGATGAAATCTAGTAACTGTTTCTTTTTCTTACTTTCCCCCTCCTTTTCCAGGCTGGTAATGAAGAAATGGTGCAACTAGGTAAGCCTTGTTCTCAGATATCACTCTTATCTTAGTAGAAAGTAAGAAATAAGTAAGATAAGCAAAATACTGTTCCTGAAATTTCTCTCATTGGTTAAGATAATAATTTGCTGTTCAGGAACATATTTATTCCTTTGTTCCTCTTTCCAAAGAAGGGTTCCATACATATCCCCTTGTCTGAGTTATGGTGATGTAAAAATTCTCCCAACGTTGGACTTTTGGAGCACTGATTGGGTACTGCCTATGGGCAAGTCAGGGAGCCCATGTGGCACAGCAGTTAAGCAAAAGATTGGCAGTTGGAACCCACCAGCCGCTCTGTAGGAAAAAGATGTGGGAGGCTTGTTCTGTAAAGCTACAGCCTGGGAAACCCTCTGTGGCAGTTCTACTCTATCCTTTGAGTTGGAATCAACTCTATAGCAATGAGTTATTTTATTCTTTGGCTATGGACAAGTCATTAAGGAGCTCTGATAGCTTAGTGGTTACGAATCGGGTTGCGAACCGCAATGTCAGCAGTTCGAAACTACCAGCTGTTCCACTGGAGAAAGATAAGGCTTTCTGCTCCCGTAAAGATTTACAGTCGCGGAAACCCTGTACAGGGTCGCTATGAGTCTGAACCAACTCCACGGTACAACAACAACAACAACACGGACAAGTCATTGGTAGGTACAGGCAGCCCTTTGGCTATGTATGGGCTCCACGTCTAAGTGTGTCTTTAAGTTGAATTTGTAAGTATGTCAAAACTGGTACATAAGGTTTTTATAGTGTTGTTAGTGCAAGAAATTAATTATGAATAGAGATTGATTCAATCCAAGAAGCCCTAGTGAAATAGTCAGTTAAGCATTGCATTGCTAACTGAAAGGTCAATGGTTTCAAACCTAATGGCTGCTCTGCTTCTGTGAAGATTTACAGCCTCAGGAATTCTATGGGGCCATTCTCATGTGTCCTAGAGGGTCCCTATGAGTCAGAATCCACTAGATGATAGTGGATAGTGAGTAGTTCAGTACTTTCAAAGTGTGGGCAAATTTACATCACATGAACCCTGGTGTGATGCTGTAGGATAAGCTAACCACAAGGTCAGCAGTTCAAACCTACAAGCTACTCCTTCAAAACCCTATACAGGTTTGCTAGGAGTAGGAACTGACTCAATGGAACTTCACAACAACAACAACAGGGGGCACGTAGGTGCTGTATTTAAGTTGATATTCAAAACTGGAATTTACTCTACTTAGGTAGTGTGGGGGCTAGATACGAAGATGGCTGAAACCAAGTGAACTGTTGTAAAGTGTCATTGAGTCTGTTCTGACTCTTAGCAACCCTGTATAGGGTATCCAAGGGATGGCTGGTGGGTTTAAACAGCCAGCCTTGTGCTTAGCAGTCCGGTGCTTATTCTACAGTGCTGCACCAGGACCCAGTGTAGCATAAAAGGAGCACATTTAATTAGTACAGGAGGCAAGGTATAAGCATGCTAAAAAGAAGGGAAATCTGAAGTATAATGAATGGAGAGTTTTCTCTTAAACTTTTTCTTGCTTTGGGTAAATCCTTTGACTGTCTCTCATATTCCATCAGCTTTAAGATAATCATCTACTCATGTGCAAGAAACTGTTTCAAACAAACAAAAAACCCACTGCCACTGAGTTGAACCCAATTAACATTGTTGTTGTTATTAAGTGTCTTTGAGTTGGTTCCAACTCATAGAGACCCTGTATAGGGTTTCCAAGGAGTAACTGGTGGGTTTAAACCACCACCAATATTTTGATTCAAACTGACTTTGCAGTTGAGTGCTTGTCCTACAGCACCACTCTGGGACTCCCATCCAATTCATAAAGACCCTATATAGGGTTTTTAAGATTGAATCTTCACAGGAGCAGGCAGTTTCATCTTTCTCCTTAGGATGACTTATATGGCTGGTGTATCTGAACTTCCAACTTTGTGGTTAGCCACCCAATACCTTAACCCACAGCACTACCAGGACACCTTTCCATGTGGGTAATATTCTTCCCATTTTATAGATGAGGTGATTGAGGCTCACAGAGTAAGTAACTTGTAACAGGTTACTTCATAGGCCATGCTCTTTTCTGAAATCTAAAAGTCATCTGGCAAGAAGCAAGGTCACATTCAAAACTTTCGTACAAATTTTTTCTTTGCTGTTGTTGTTATATGCTGTGGAATCGGTTCTGACTCATAGCAACCTTGCACAGGGTTTCCGAGGCTGTGAATCTTTACAGGAGCAGAAAGCCTCATCTTTCTCCCACAGAACCGCTGGTAGTTTCAAACTGCTGACCTTGTGGCTCATAGCCCGATTCGGAGGTTGCTTTAAAAGATAATTTTTCCTTTTGGCAGATTCTTAGGTCTCTGAAAATTTGGCAAGTGGTATTGTAAAATCATCTGTTAGACAGAAGATTTTCTACCATTACTACTGGAGACCTGGTATTGTGCTGTGGGTTAATGTGCTTGAACCACCACTAAGTTGGTGGTTCAAGTTCAGCAGCCTCTCCTCGGAAATCCTAAGCAGGATCACTGGGTCGGAACCAACTCAACGGCACTTAACAACAACACCACCATGATTACTGCTACTGCAAAAATAGGTACAATTCACTGATTATTTGCTATATACCAGCTACAGTGTTAATTGTTTTTTAATGTGTGTTATTGAAAATACCATCATTTGGGTCAGGTACACATTAGTCCTCAAACTGATACCTTTACTCTTTAACACTTTAAAGAGGTATTTTACAGCACCTGTGCTGAAAGCAATACGTCATTTGATTTCTTGAATGCTGCTTCCATGAATGTTGATGGTGGATCCAAGCAAAATGAAGTCTTTGACAAATTCAATCTTTATTCCATTTATCATGATGTTATTTATTGGCCCAATTATGATGATTTTTACGTTCTTTACATTGAGGTGCAATCTATATGAAGGTTTTTGATTTTCATCAGTAAGTATTTTAAGTCTTCTTTGCTTTCAGCAGTTAAGGTTGGGCTATCTCCCTACCACAGGTTGTTAATGTGTCTTCCTCCAGTCCTGATGTCACGTTCTTCTTATAATCCAGTTTCTCATATAATCTTCTCAGCATACAGATTGAATGTTGTTGTTGTTAGGTGCCATCAAGTCGGTTCCAACCCATAGCAACCTTATGCACAGCAGAACGAAATACTGCCCGATCCTGGGCCAACCTCACTACTGTTGCCATGCTTGAGTCCATCGATGCTGCCACTTGGCCAATCCATCTCGTTGGGGCTCTTCCTCTTTTTCTCTGACCCTCCACCTTACCAAACTTGATATCCTTCTCTAGCGACTGATCCCTCCTGACAATATGTCTGAAGTATGAGAGATGAAGTTTGCCCATCTTGGCCTCCAAGGAGCACTCTTGCTGCTGTTCTTCCACAATGGATTATTGGTACTTTTGGCAGCCCATGGCACTTTCAGTATTCTCCTCCAACACCATAACTCAAATGCATCAGTTCTTCTATGGTCTTCCATATTCACTGTCC